TGTTCATGGCGGACCCATAATGAGGGCAAGTCAAATAATGGACATTTAGTTAAGCAGACAGTATTGTATTTTTTTATGCACACAAAAAGAAATGTGTATATTTGTGCTTTTTAAATATATGAATGCTTAATATATAAAATATATTTGCAAGTTTCAGATTTTGAATTTTTCTTCGTTATTTTGTTTTTCAAGCATGGCGTTATTCGATCTTCTCAGTTTATGGAAGTTCCTTAGAGGTCTTCTTCAAGGAACAAAGTAATTGATTCATTTAAAATTCGGATATTAATAAACTGGGTAATTATGCCCCAGAGCGCAGGCGTTAGCTTGTTTTTATGTACGATATAGTGTACATAGTTTGTCGAAATAAGAACTGTGAGAAAATCTTTCGGCCTGATCATAGACTGTGTTTTTAGTTTGGCTCACGACTACAGGGAGAGGAACCAGGAGGTGATCGCTGGCGGAGAGAATGTGGTGGTGAATCCGATCGATGCATTCTTGCTCATTCGCAGGTTGACCGGGGACTGGAGCTACGCTGAGCAGCTGATGCGTCACAACTCGGCCGACGGTAATTTATCGACTAATGATGATGTGTATGATATTCAGAAAATATGTATAGGATATATTGCATTTAGTGATATAGTTGTATATCGTTTGCATATAGTTATTGGGGATAAAAGTATTTCTCTACTTGAACAAACATGCGAGGTGCGACGGTGCGCTGACTGATACTGATTATGTTCCCTTAAGGCGGTTGAAGACGTAAATGTACATGTTTTTCGGCAAGGTGAATTAATATGCCGAATTTGCAGATCTCAACTAACGTTAAGTGGATACGTACTTTTGTGACCGTCATTTGAGCCGTCTGCATAAGCACAACGTGGTTTGTGATGCCCGCTGTATTCACAGCTTTGCAAACCTTTTATCATAAGGCGTCGATGACTGCGTTGTAAAAGAAAAATTCCTCTCTGAGAGCAAATCAGCCTCCATGATTCCATCATGTTGCGTGTTGGCCTCTTGGCCTATGTTTGCCATGGTTCGTCTCCCTTACGAAAAACGCACAGGCTAAAGTAGGTGATTTTTGTTCAACCAGTTTTTCTAACAAGGCCAACCTCTTATTCTTAATTTCTACATGTAAAGAAATTGCTTGTTCCCGTCTAAGAATGGAGCCATTCCATACGTTGTCCTACTGCTTAATACCCTCATTTGTCGAAGCCAGCTAACAACACCTATCTGACCATGTTAAGTGAAAGGTAATATCTTCTTCGCCCTCCCTGACATAATTTTTCAGACACTGTTTGGTTCTGCTTTCAGTCACACTAAGAGTCCAGATTGTCCGTTTGTTAGACAGACGGTCACAATTAATAGAGTGTTCGCCCTACTTCCTTAGCGAATTAAAGTATGCAATTTAACCCGATCCCTTTGTCTGGATTTACGATGGAATTTTAAAAAAATGCGCTCTGTGCGTATGAACTACCGTTGCTTTGCTAGTGTAAGGAAAGACGTGGGCCAATGTTACAAGGTGCTGCAGTTGGGTTTTGGGAAGCTGTGGCCATCGGTACATTGTATATTCTAAACTACTGCACAGCGTTGACGATTTTAAGGCCATTATGAGCAAGAGGATAAATATCAGCGTAGAAAAATCCGGTTTGATAGAGTTACAGTCTGTTTCCTCACAAACTCAGCTGATTTTAGCTCTGATTCTACAATTAAGTGCTCGAAAACCTAAATTATCATCCACCTTGTGTACGGCGTACAATAACGAGGCAATCGGAATGCATAGCATGGTGAATGATCTTCGATCACACTGTTCAGACTTCACCGCTCAAACTTCTCGTGAAGTTACAACTGGTCCGATGACTAGTGGTGTTTGGCTGATAAAGAAACAACTGTGATAAAATGCTCTTTCCCGCAAGCGGAAGTGTGCTTCGCGGCTAAAATTAGATAGACTTGCCATATTTATAGCTGCCGTTTGCTATGAATTTTCTAGAAATGGAAATCTTGTATTTTTCTGTTCTCTTTTAGCGAAAGTCCCGTATGTCCTGCTGAGCAAACCTGTTTTAGCCGAATTTCCATCTTCATCGTAGTAGTGGTTTGTCTTAAAGAATAGTTTCTAAGTTCGCAACTGGAACACTGACGATCGTTGAATGGCGAAATTTTAGGTGAAAAACTTAAACTCTCACAAGTCGAGTTTTCGAATGTTCCGAAAGGAAACTTCAGAAATCGGTCGAAAGCAAAAACAAATACTGCTGTTCATTCTGGTTTCTCTCTCTTCGCCTTATTCAGCAGTATTATTGCATTTTAATGATCAGTCATTGGGCGACGATGGTTGACTGTTTAACGATGCTGTTTCAATAATCGAGCAACTGCATGGGCTCACTGGTTGGACTATAATGGGGCTATGCAGAACAGTTTTACGAAATGTGTGCCTTAAAAATCGTCCTCACAGTTACGACTTTGAACTGGTTCGCTGTTCGGTCAGAAGCGGTCACATTTAACTATGGCCGTGCATTTATCATTTGACTTATTTGTAAAATAAACAGCCAGCCATCAGTCGAGTCGGCTTATAAAAAACAGTTAGTTTGCCTAAGCTTCTCACGGATTAAAAGTTGAGGATTTCTGTAAAATACTATGCAGAATAACAGTAGTTAGTTTATTTGTTTATGGCAGCTGTACCGTGAATTTTTAGTCGACCATTTGAAGAAATTTTTTAGACTTCGTGAGTTAAAAATAAACATGGTCGAGAAAGTGGGAAATTAAGTTTAATGATGATAGCAAAACAAACAAAATTAACGTCGATTGCTGTGCATAACAGTTATCATAATTATTTCTGTTTTATTTGAGCTCTGCCTGTATAGAAGTAGAAGGACACCACGAATCCTAAACGATATGCGATTTCACAAAGGTACTGAAGATTACGATCACAATATTCAATGAACAAGTTGTCTTTTGCAGTTGCATTTAACGTTACCATGACCACCGTAAGTTAATTATACCGTGATCGCCACTATTAAGCTGGTTTCCTTTCTAGCTGGGTCATAATCGAGCAAGATGAAACATTCTGTGCCCTGGTTGTGAGGAACAAGCTCCTTCCGTCGTATCGACTTTGTAACGATCCCCTGTTATATGGCCTAGGGTCAGTGTAATCCTTTATAATATGGTATATCATATTGCCTGAGGCATTTTGGGTAAGGAACGTGCTATGGATTGAATTGGGGTAAAGACATTATCAGTTTCTTCATAGAACCGAAGTCACATTCATATGGTAGATAGGGCATTCACTGTAATGTCTGTAATTCGATGGTCGATTATTAACGTTTTTACTCAGCGTAACTTCAGGCTTGATCCCAAATATCAGATTTTGTCCACGTGTGCAAGAGGTTGTGCTACTATCGACGTTTGCTAGATTTCTTGGACACGATAACTGTTAACTTTTTGGCTACGCTAAATGGGATTGTGCATAAAGTCTGTGTACAGTTTGGCCAATTCACAGTGAGCTAGGACGTAACAACCTCTTCTTCGCATCTCATCGGACCGTGCATCATCACGTGTTTGCCAGACACGTTTTTAAATACACTAATTTTAGATTGTAGATTAAAAGTCTTCTTCGGCAGAAAATGGCATCAGCAGAGCCCTTCTCAGTCTGCCACATGAAGACAGTTCATCGACGATAGTAAGAATATCATTCCACGGCAAACGTAATAGAATAAGCGGTAAAATGTTTTTATGAATACTAAAATAATTACTGTGGTGTGTAGGATATGCTAATGCCTACAAACGAAACATACTCTATCACAAATCGTAATGCGAAGATCGGGGAGTTATAGTTCATACAGTGAATTGTAACGCTTAGCAATGTGGTAGGAACAAATTTTGAAATCCTGTGCCATTATGAATAATTACTACTATGATTAAAAGCTGGAATAAAAAGTTTGAGCTACTAATCGTTTCCAAAGGTAGAATGGTTAGGCATTACGTTGCCTCTGCTACGCTCTTCTCTGTCAGTATGGAAATTTCTTCACCAAAACGAAAAGCATTTCAGATCGCCACTTGTGTTTGTGATATTGAGTGAATTATCGGTTATTATCAAGGACTTTCTTCGACTTCAAGAGAAAACGAATGCTACATGGCTTCCGCCCGTAGAATCAGTGGAAAAAATGAGCCAACAAGGATATGGATGCAATGAAGTCATTAACGCGTATGAAGGCGAAACGGTTTATTTATTTACAACGCAAGCAATCAGTCGGGTGATTGACCAAAACCGACGTTTCGGCTGGTCTCAGGCCTTCTTCAAGATCGTCTGGGATGATTTTCGTAGTTCGTTCTCTGGTCAGGGCCTTTGTGATGTCTACAGTCAAGGATAAGTCTTTGAGGGAGGAGCCAAAACGTCGGTACTGGTCAATCACCCGTCGATTGACTTGACCAGGTTGTTTACTTGCGTCGTTTGTAACTCGAATATAAATCATTCAGTTTTCAGTATGATCACCAACGTTCGACCAGAATACTCAAATCAAGAAAACGTTGACTGAAGGGAGTCAGTAGTCGGGAAATTCGAAAATTGCTTGCGATTCCTAGTTGTAGGAAAGTTAGTGTGGGATTATATGAACGACGAATAGACTAGTATGGATTTTCTTGAGCAAATTCTGGGGGCTATCTAATTCGTGATTTTTTTTTCTTATATACGTCATAACCCATGGCAGGAAACGTATTTGCTGAGATAATTTTACTTGGGTCTGTTTAACTAGTTCTTTCATCGTTTTATTCATGACTAATGGCAAGGTTGTCGACATTATATTGTTCAGACATGCTTGATTCTCGTTTTTTGAGTCACTGGGATCCTTTGTCGGTTTTCTCCTACGCTGCATCTGAATTTATCCATTTTCCCTTAGTTCAGCATTATTCCTCTTAGATACGAATGGCGATCTGATTTCTCATCATCAGTCCTGTTGCCGGAACCTTTGATACGCGCATTCGCAAGGGATACTGGAAATTGAGCCCTGTTTTTTTGCTACGTTGCTGTGAGATTTCAGACGATTAAGCTGACTGCATAAACTGTAGCGATGGATTCAAGTAATTAATATCATTAACATGCCTCGCGCCGAAATTAATGCAAGAATTCTGAATGCCCGTGATGACAGTATGTTCTGTGAGATCTACGCGTAAAAGTTTTGCTGATAGTCGTCCTGTGTAAGACGCTGACGTTTCGGACTAAACTATGTTTGTCTTCAGAGTTATGAAAAGGATTTACAAGGAAGGATTTTTTCGTTAAGTTGTGTAATGTAATACACATATATATTATATACGCGGGTTGATGCGTTTCTTGCGAAACCGACCGGCAGAAGGCCCAGCCAGCGGCCATGATTAACCTGGTGCAGATATATGGAAGGAATCTGTTCCAGACTCCAGCTGTCTTGTGTCGAAGCTCAGACTCTGGCACAAGATCGGGAACGTTGGAAGGTCTGTCTGACGCTTCCGCCTCTACGACCCGAAGGGAGAAGCTTCCATGGAAGATGAAGAAGAGGAAATTGTGTTTCCCTGGTGCTCTGATCAGGTTACATGTGCGACGCTATCCATTGACACTGCTTTGCATATATGCACTACATGTCCTATAATAGCATTTAACTGTGACCTGCTCACAACGACCCCCAAAAGATCAAGATTAAGAATTCACTTCTTAAACGGCATCGATGATGAACACCATTTGTCAGCATTAGAAAAAGAATCATCGTGGAGTAAGGAGACGAATGCTTTTGCCTTTACTCGATATCACAGGCAAAGACGATAGAAGGTGCAATGGTATGGAAACGGACCAGCGGAAATGAATGAAACAAACTGGTAAAATATAATATTGCTAAAGTTTCGAACAGTAAAAAATAATACAAGGTACAATGGTATGGAAACAAAATTGTTATTTTAATCATAGTCTAATAATGCTGATTAATCGCATAGAGATTTCCTATGATGCGCTCTGAATACGGGAAGAATGACTTGCGAAATATCTTTGCCCTCACAGAGATGTTGAAATGTGGCTGCGTGAAGTTATGATAGGACTTGAACTGCGGCGTAGAGGATGTGAGGTTTATATTGTTTTCCAAACGAATTCCACGTAAAATCATTGAGTGTGCAACCTGAACGCCAAGTTGTTTAATGTCTACTTTCTCAGCTTTGACACAATTTTTGTTGGGTTGGGTATCGCCATAAAGTCATGATCTAACAGCTGTGGGAGAACAATTGCAACCGCATACCTGTACAACAGTAAAATCACAGGAAGAGAAAAATATTAAGTGATTCCCGCGAAGCAGGGAATTTTCTTAGCTCTTTTGCATGAACTGCCACGAGGTAACAGTGACTCATTAAACATTGAACGCGTTCATGCCGCGTAGAGTCAGCAGATAGGGTGATCTACAGGTACATTACTTGAGCTACTTGCTTGCGGTGTCGTTGTCAAGCAGTGTAATCATGCCGTGTCGATTCGTAAAAATAAAAATAGTATATATATGGTTATTACGTGTTCGATGAATTTTATTCCATCGTTAGTTATGAAAATTGTAACCTCGAGTCTGTTTAGGGTTTTTGAAAAATATTTCTATGGAACGAGATGCTTCGCCAGTTAGGTTTCCGGAAGCAGACGATTTCGAAGGAGCTGCGATTGCCATCCTCCGTTTGCAAGACGTCTACAAACTGGATACTCATGATATGGCCGAAGGCAAAATTCAGAACACTGAACAGGGACAAAAAATGGATGGTATGAATCATTTTTTTGTTAACAGTATCAGGGACAAAATCCACGAGTTTTTCTGAGTCATTTCATTACTATAACGGTTATTATAGAAGATCGATTATCAAAGTTTATTCCCTTTTATTCTCAAGTTACAGAGTTTATAATTTTCGTTTAGTTTATTAGCTTGAATTTTTTACATGGTACAATGTCAATAAGCCCGGAAAGACATCCAGTAACCATTATAAAAAAATTTATCATAGGAGTGCAAAACGTAACAGAGAGCCATTGTGCGACGTACGAAGTCTTCTTTCATCCTTCTATTAAAGGTTGGCTTTATTTTACAGAAACGTTTGCGTTTGGTCAGAACTTTATTTGAGTACGATAAAACAGCCTCAGTAGTAGCCACTAGCCAACTTCGTTTAACTTGACTTAACTTCGGCATTAAAACCGAGGTTCGTTTATTGATAACAACAGCAACTGACTGATCTTTCTTCATAATTAAGAGTGATCACTGTAGCCAAGTTTCGATGTCGACGTTCGTCTGTCCGATACAAGTTGTCGGCACAATCTTCCGTATCTTTCTTTTCGTGTCCGTATCCACATCAGCGCCGCGGTCTTCGAATTAGGCTCATATAGCCCCTTGGATACCAAGCTTATACTTGTGAAACCCATCGGTCGTGTGATGTAGTCCTCCGTGATCCGACTGGAGCTATATGCGGGAAACTAAGCACCATGTTTATTTGTACTTTCCACTGCATTCGATCTTGGCAAGTGATTTTGGCTACTGTCCACACTTGTCAGCTATCTTTGACAGAATGTTCATTCGCCCTTTACTCCGGCCGAAGGGGGATCTTTATGACGGTTCTCTGAGGCTTCGTCCGCGCAAAGTTTCTTTGGTGAGCTAAGGCATAACTACTTCTTCTCTGGTGAGTTTTCCTCTTCACTGCGACGCAATGGCATATGTCGTGGAGGCAGTTCATTTGTATTTATTCATTAACCGTTAAATGCCAAAAATGTTTCATTTAATGGGTTAATATGAATTTTCGACAGCATCTGAGTCCAATGTAGTTAAGCGTAGGAGCACTTGGTAAAGTTGTTGCTTGAAAAGGTGTGGAATATTTCTTGTGCTAGCTCTTAAATTAATTCACGGAGTTTAAGTTATAATAACTTAATAAATGGCTAGAAATTCTAACTACCTCAACTACCTGCTAAAAGCATTATTTTCATTCCGTTTAACAAATATTGTACGACATTTTTGATTCTGAACCCGTTGCCGGAATGGCGTATGCTTTTTCGATTAATGCTTGAGGGCACCACACAACACAGATGTTATTACTTATCAACGCTTTTTTTTACATAATCTGTAGCATCGTGGGCACAACTGATTATCAGGCAGCTAGATGCCGTATATGAATTAAATACCTTGATTTGAAGTGAGTGACAGATTGTTGCCAGATTTTAACCATAATGATCATAATTGTATTTTTGAATTTAATCTCGGTCACTTATATAATCTTTCAGAATTTTTTTATTATCATGTTCGTGATAACAGCCCAAGTTTCACTTATCACCACAGAAGAAGAGTTTCTTTGCACAATATTTCATTTTCAAAATATGTAGGGACTCCTGTATCAAAAAATCAGATTTTGACCATACTCTGTGATTACAAACATTCATAAAGGGCGTATTGTGAAACACTTGAATAACACTGTTTCCGCCTTAAACTCTGAAATTCGATATTTTTACTAGGTATTCCTAAAGGATCGATATTCAAGGAGGACACTGGAGGGTGAATGCTTGCACCCTAGCTGCAACTAGATGAAGCAGTGTCAAAACAGACCTATGGTAATTTTACTATGCATACCCCAGGTATATGAGTCATTTGGAACGTATCTCTACAACACTTAGTCTGGTAAAAAATGAAATGAGTTTAGGGATCCTTCGGTTCAGTACATATACCCAAAGCAAACCGGAGTAAGTAATGAATGTGGTTTACAGTATGGAATTTTGAGACCGCGATGCTTTGGATAAACCTAGCGGAAATTGAATATCCGTGCTAAAGAACATTTGTCGGCAGTCCACCTCCGGTAGACTGGTATTGTTGCTCTGATATTGCGCAACGCGCCCGTTCTGAGGGAGATTTCTTCAGTTAGACGATTATGTCTGTAATCAACAAGGGCCGATCAAAGCTTGATCTATTAATAATGAAGTCCAAATATATTTTGGCGATTAAACGTCGTATGTGCAATGAATACTCCTCCTCTGTGGTTATAATTGAAGGCTGAGGTGCTCTCACGAACTGTGGCTATTTAAAACCAAGATACAGAAACAATTCTATGTTCATTATGAAATATGTGCATGCCGGTTATATGGACACTTCTCAATCATCAACGTCTTCTGAACCATTATTGAATGAGCACCTCCTTAAGGTTTGTGCAAAATTCTGTTCTGCAGTTTATTCACATTTTCAAAATGGTTTCTACAGCCCATTCTGCTGTCCATCTGGTATCTTCCGACGGACCATTTTCCCTCTCTGGGAACCCAGCGAATTAAGCTGACAGTTAGGAAACTGTTAATGTTTTATAGAGATGATATATTTTCGGAGAGGGCAAATGGGTGAACAGCGCATAAACGTTTTACTCACCCACCGTATATTCGTGTAGCCGACGTTACGGGAGAAGCTAGGTTCGTCTTTGGAATTACAGTATTACTGTATGTTGTGGTTTTAGCTTTGGACTGTTTCTCGATCGGTCAGGTTGCCTATCGAAAGCAGGACTATTATCATACGTTGATGTGGATGCAGGAAGCCTTAGACCGAGTACAAACCGAAGACCCACAAACGGCTGACATCGGCGAGATCTTGGAACATCTGGCATTTGCGTTGTTCCAGCAAGGCAATGTT